GAGCGGGGCCCGTAGAGCCCAGGGGTCGGCGCCCCGCGATGGCTCCGCCGGCGCCGCGCCGCACCCGGTGTCCCCCATCCGCCCTCTGAGACGCGCCCGGCTGGGGACCCTGGGGCCTCGGCGCCCCGGGCCTTCGCCTCCGCGCCACTCCCCTGCTTCTGCTAGGGGACGGGTCCCAGACAAAGCCCACTTTGTGCGGGGACCTGGCCGCGCGCGTGGAATGTGCGCGTCGCCGCGCCCCCTGCCAGCGCCCGCCAGCTGCGCGTCTCGGCTCCGGGACAAGCCGCGTCGAGTCGGAGAAGTCGGCCCCGGGCGCCGCCCTTGCACCCCGGGCTCAGGACTGGCGCTCCAGCGGCCAGGGGACCCCGCGGTCCTGCCGCCCCCCGCGGAGCGCGCCAGTGTGAGCCTACGAGGGTTTCGTAGAGGAATTTGCTGTCCCCAAAACTGGGACCTGGGCGGTCTGGTCAGCTTGGGTGCCCTCCCTTTCCGCGGCCACGCGCCAGAGCTGTCTGTCCTCAGTCTCTCTCCGACGTTCCTCTCTGTGTGCTGGACTGCTACTGGTCATTGTTCTCCGTGCCCAATGGGGGTGCGTTGTGAGGGCTGCCCAGCCGCGGAGGGCTCTCCAGATCCTGTTACTCAAATTGAAGGCCTCAAAGGCTGACCCCAGACAACTCACCCTCGGATCCCTACTTCAGGTTGATGCACTGATTTTTTTTTTCCTTACCAAGTAGTATTTTATTATAAAGGAACAACGCCCTGGTTTCTTAAAGGCACCCTGCACTCTTGCTTGGCCAGGTGTCAACACTAGCTGGTGTGTGGGCGGCCTCCGGGGAGCCACCCATTTTTCCCGCCTTCTGATACGCATCCTCCACCCTCTTCAAGGATTTAGGGATGCCAGGGGGGAAGAAGGTGATGACAGGTGGCAGCAGCAGTGCTGTCCAGAGCGCCGCTGCCACAGCTACCAGCGCTACCCCTTCTGGGGTCAAGCGTTTGGAGACCAGTGCAGGGGCCTCAGCCCAGAGAGATGATGAGCCAGAGGAGGAAGGGGAAGAGGACCTTCGAGATGGAGGCGTCCCTTTCTTCGTCAACCGGGGTGGGCTCCCTGTGGATGAGGCCACCTGGGAACGGATGTGGAAGCACGTGGCCAAGATCCACCCCAATGGAGAGAAGGTGGCGCAGCGGATCCGTGGGGCCACGGACCTGCCCAAGGTAAGGTGTGGGGTGGGGCGGGGTTGAGCCACAGGATGAACAGTGACGTTGGGACTAAGAGAGCTGAGCCAGGCTCTTCCTGTGATGGGTGGGGTATGGTACCACTGGCATGCTAAGATTTAGAGATACAGACAGGACACACTAGCTCAAAACCTGCTGTGTTGAGGTCAAGCCATAAGGGAGGCTTACATGGGCCTGTGTCTAGGAGACACCCCCCACCCCTTGGCTTTGTGGGCACGACCACAGATGGACTGGAAAACACCAAGTGTGGCTTGGCATCCTTCCGCTGAGCAGAGGACTAAGAGGACTGGGGATGAGCGACTGAGGAGATACAGGGCTTTGAACATTGAGGGATATTTTCATGCATTACCTTACTCAGTGCTCCCAACCATCTTGAAGTCCCGTTTGGGGACCCCCCTTTACAAATGAGGAAGGTCAGAACTTAAGTAGAAAAGTCAGAAGTTACACAGCCCATAAATGGCCAAGTGGAAACCCTCCACCAGATCTGAGGCTGCAGCCCCTCACTTTGTTGGACACTAGATTCAGGGAAACTAAAAGTAAAAGAGAAATAGAGAAGAGTAAAGTGATTTTCTGTGTTGGTTGTGACTCCCCACCCCTGCAGCCCTTCAGTGAGTGGCAGTGAAGGCAGAGCCTATGTCTCATTCATCTTTGTCCCCAAGGTCCGTGTGCCTGGCACAGATCAGGCATGATGTGTTTGTTGAGTGGCAGGGTGCTTGAGGCTTTCTGTGCTGCACAGTGCCATATGGAAATACACGCCTTGTAGGTTATTTGAAACATTACGGGGAAGTCTGAGGCAGCAGCGTCCCAGGGCAGAGCCCTTTGGACAGAGGGCAGAGTGCAGTGCTGTCACCTGCTCAGGTGAGAAGGGTGGGGGCTGGGGAGAATGGAGTTAGTGTGGCTTAGACACTGGACAAGTGGCCTGCTTGGTTTTTACCCAGTTATTGGTAGAGCCAACAGGAAATAACTCTGGAAAAAAAAAATCAGAGGTTGAAGGCTGACCTCCTGCCTGAATTTCCAGGGGCAGTAAATGTAGATTAATTTGAAAGACTGCATTGTTTTTCTCTGCATTGACTTATAATTTATTTAGCTGGTTTCCTACAGTTTGGCATGGTTTCCAGTATTCTTAAAATGAACACTGTGTTGAACATTCTAAAATACATATATTTGGGATCCAACCCTGACCCCCCTTCCCTTGGGGTAAATCAGAACACTTACCTACCTAGAATGCACGAGGCCCTGGGTTCAGTCCCAGCACTACCAAAACCAAAAAAAAAAAAAAAAAAAAAAAAGCAGGAGGGAGATGTGGACTTGTTTGGATTACTATCATGCCATGTGGGTGACCCTTGGTGTAAGCTCCCAACTTGAGCCACATTTGTCTCATCTGTGAATTGGGGTTGATTGTGGGGAAGAATACAGGAGCAGCTACATTTTGAAGCCACTATAAAGCTTCAAGCAGCACTGGTTATGAGTGTACATTACCTTTTCTTCCTTCATGAGGAAGGGACACTGGATGTCAGCATTTGTACCAGTGAAACCAGAGCCACACACTCATGCCACATGAGCAAGCCATCTTGCTTTTGTCTGAATCAGGCCCTAAAAGTGTGGATGGTTTCCTGCAGAATTGTCACCCCTCCTGACAACTAAACAACAGCAGTGAGCTCCCCACCAACTGGTCAGTAATGTCTTCTTGTCGTCTTCCATCCTCATGGCCAGCAAAGTCACAGATAGGGTATGGTAAGGTGGACAGACTTGTGACAGGCTTGGAAAATGTGAAACTTCTCCTCCTGAGGCTATAGGAAAAGTGTCTCAGAGAAATCGCATGAGTCTGTGTGGGGTTCCTCCCCACCTCAACCCAGAGTCGAGGGGAGGCCCTGGGGAGAAGGGATTAGGGGCCGGCAGAGAAGAGCAGCTGTGGTTGGGTAGCAGACTTTGGGCTACTCCTCCCCAAGAGTCCCTGGCATGGAGCTGACACACACAAATATTTCTGCAGAGTTGCGCTGGGGTGGGCCCAAGAAGGGTTTTGTTGGGACTGCGCAGTGTCTTAAAAGCCTGCTTGAGCCAAAAGTTAAAATTGGGAGATTTCTCACATAACCATCCGGAGTTTTGGCGTTGTTTCAGAAAAAGAGAATATTTGGGAACAGAGAACCTGCAGTCCCACATGGCGGCTGGCAGCTGGGGCTGGGAGCTGCTCCCCCACCCAGTTTGCCACAGCGCCCTCACCCAAGCCCTCCCGCCCTATCATCTTACCTGCCTGGTCCTGAGGCAGCTGAGTCCAGGCCCCTGCAGGGCCTGGCATGACAAAAAGAGCACTTCAGATCCACCATAGTACAGATTCTTGCTCTCCTATAACTACCTAAGTGAGGAAGGTGACTTACCCTCAGTTTCCTCAGTTGTAAAATGGGCATGATGGCAATGCCTACTTCAGAAGATTCTGAATGGACTTAGTGATATAAGCTAGGGGTGCCTCATAAGGTGAGGACCTGGCACGTGCCCAGTAGGAAGAGAACCAGCCCATGGGCACTTTGGAAAAGGAGCCAATATGGCGAAAGGTCACCGTTTCTCGAAGGATCTCAAAGACAGCAACAACTTACACTCTTCGCAGAGTCTCTCCTTGTTCTTTAAAGCTGCCGCCATCTTTACAAGTCTAGTCCCCTTACCCAAGCCCTGCTGCCAAAGACCCAGTGGTGGCTCTGGCCACTGAGGGCCTGCAGGATGGGAATGTGGTCCTTGCCTCCCAAAGCATCACATTTCTGGGGTCCGCTGACCACTGTCTTTAGCACACGCCAGTGACAGTGGCAGTGGGTAGGAGTTGAGCCTTTGTTACCTGCTGGGCTCTGTTCTTGCTGTCCATGCAGCATCTCACACCACCAGGTTGGTTCTGCAATGGTGCCCATTTTACTAGCAGTGTCTGAGGCCAAGAGGAGTTGGGGAGTATCACTGGCGTCCTGGAGCTGTTATCCAACAGCGTGTCTATTCTGAGTGGTTCTATTCAATTCTAGAGCATCCTGTGTCACAGGTCCAGCATAGGCTCTCCTGCCTTGCCCGGCCTCCTTGCTGTGCCCAGAGGAATGGCTCCAGTGAGAACTACAGGCCTTTGGGGCTCCTAGAGAAAGGGGTCCCCTCAGCCCTGGTCATGGGACAGGAGTTGTCTCTGAGGTCCCTACCTTCATGTTACCCTGCATAACCCCACCCCTCAACAAGAAAGAAATATTAGCTGCTCCTGTTTCAGAGGTGGGGGATGGGGGCCCATCCCAAAGTGGGCCGGGTCGTCTGGATGTAGTCTCTCAAACCGTGTAAGGGAATGAGTGTGAAGAAAAAGGTGGGGCTCAGTCTAGGGTGAAGTGGCATGACTTCTAAGGCCCTGCTTGGGAATCCCAGGACTTCGGTAACTTCCACAGAGCAGTGCTTCTGGGCCCTTCGGGTGGCAGATCCTGAAGATGTGGCACTGTGTGAGCTCGGCAAATGGTTCTGGCCTGCAGTTCCCTTCCTGCCTGATACTCTTCGTAGAGCCAGTGATCATGCTTCTCTTAGGACTGAGGAAATAGCTCAGTGGAATAAGTGTTTGCCTGGCAAGTGCAAGGTCCTGAGTTCAATCCCTAGTATGGCCAAAAAAAAGTCATTCAAGATCCTTGATCCCGTTTATAAGCAGGGATGGTTCTGCCTCCATCTGAGGAGGTCAAGTGAGCAGATGGATATGTGATGCTGGAGTTCCTGTAGTACCTCGCCCTCCTCCTCCCACAGTATCTCTCACCTAGGGAACCCCCACAACCCTCCCAGGCCCTCGGAACGTTCTGGGGCCTATTTGGCTCTGGCTACCAGGTGGGCAGGGGAAGCCCCCTCTCTGTGGGTGGCTGTAGGCAGTGGCACCATTGTGAAGAGGGAAATGGTATGAAAGGGGAACTCGCTGCCTGTGGCCCAGGACAGATGTCAGTTGCTCAGCCCTGCGGTTGCTAGGGACTGTCCAGACAGGAAGGAGAGGGCTGCAGGGAGGGAGGGTTGTCTGCACAGCTGCCTTTCGGGATCAGGGACTCCCTCCTCCTCATCTCTGCCCTCCAGAGGGAGGAGGTGCCTTTTAGACACTGTGTTATGTCCTCCTACTATCAGCAGCACCCCAGACACAAATGTGCACTGATAACTGGTATGTCACTTCCCTCCCTGGCAGAGCCACGACAGCCACGTTACTGAAAAAGCAGTGTCCAGGGCCTCAGCGTCTCCAGGACTGGGTCTCCTAAGGGAAGAAGGGACATCCGGGTCCTTCCCTTCCTGACCCGCCCACCCGGAGTTTGCCTGGGGCTACTTGCTGCCCCTTCCCTTCACCAACACCCCCACACTTGCAGGCCAACTCTCTGAGGCCTCCATGTGGGTATGGAGAGTTCTGTGTGGCCTTGGAGGGTCCAGTGGTGGCCAGGGGACAGTCAGTGGGATCTCCCAGAGTCTTCTCACAGCTGGCTCTGATGAGGCCAAAGGGGAGCCCAGAGGGGCACACTATGACCCTGAAGGTCTGTGGCTCTCCCAAGCAGGTCTGTTCTGAAACCACAGAGGACCCTCTCACCATTACATCTCTGGGACCTCTGGGCTTCACAGTTTGCCAGGGCTCATGCTTCCTGGCTGGAGAGGGACCACACCTGCACAGTGGCCTCCTTACCAGAGACTGCCTGGTGGCTGGGTGGGCTGCGCCTCATCTGAGTCCCAGCAGCGTGTGTCTTCCATCTGACTCCTCCTCTCTCCCTAGAACTCTGGCCCAGTGTTAGAAAGTCCCTTCCAGTGAGAACTGTCTGGTTACCTGTACTTCTTATGTGTAGAGCGGACAGGAAGGGTGGGTGTTAAGGAGACCCGGAGGCCTCTGCCTTTGTGAAGCCCCCCTGAAAGCCCCTAAGCCTCAGCAAGTGGAGCCACAGCAAGACTGACCTGCCTTGGAGTTCATCACTGTGGCCTGCTGGCGTACAGTCCAGACTGGTGCTTTGGAAGGCCTGACAGAGTTGCCTGTGGTGCTGGGGTGTGTGACACTCACCGCTGAGGACAGGTTCTGCCTTTCTGGAGAGCTCTCTGAGCCCAGGGAACCACCCTGCGAGGGTAGGACACAGAGCAGGCAGGCTGCAGTCTAGAACTGGAGCCACAAGATATTCTTGTGTTGTGACTGTGGTGATTCACTTGAGGCAGCTACTCAGGAAGAAAAGTGGCTTATTTAGCTCAGAGCTTCAGAGGCTGGACAGCCACAGTCAGTTCAGCCTCTGGTGAGGGCCTCATGGCTGGAGCCAGGGAGGGAAGGGAGATCACACCCCAAAGAGGGAGCCAAAGCGAGGGGGAGAGGGCATGCTTGCTCCCGGCAGGACACCCAGGGAACAGATTTGTCTCTTCTGAGGCCATCTAGTGGCCTCCCACTGGGACCCTGTTAAAACCACCACACAGAGAATCAAGCCCCTAACAAACCACTTCCCACACAGCCCAGAGCAAACCCCAAGCCCAAAAGAACTTAACCCTTCCACTGGAATTCTGGGTAAGCCTGGAAGTTAATTAATATTTAAAATTTAAAACAGTTGGTGAATCAACCTGTGTTTTTCTCAAATATTAAAGAAGCGTACAACTGGAACATCAACATAAATTCCACATTAGAAATGCCTGACATCAGGTGCTGGGGGAGGAAAGCTGGGATGGCACCCTGGCAGAAGGTTCCAGAAGGAAGGACTTCGGGGAAGGATGCTCAGGGTGGGGGGAAGAGGCTGTTCCCCCAGGCTAGACTTTGTCCCTTGACTTCAGCCCTTGTGTGTCCCCAGATTCCCATACCAAGTGTGCCTACTTTCCAGCCGTCTATGCCAGTCCCTGAGCGGCTGGAAGCCGTGCAGCGCTACATCAGAGAGCTGCAGTATCCTCTGTGGTCCGGCTGTGGCCTCTGCCTGGCTGATGTGGTGGACCCAAAGGCCAGATGTGGTGTTCATCTCAGACAAGGCTGGAAAGGGATCAGCTGAGCCGCCTCCTCCCGCAGCTCCTTGAGGCATCTCTCTTCCCCGTGAACATCTTTCCTGGACCAGCTTCAGGCTCTCGGTCACCAGCCTCCTCCTGCTGCCATGTGTGACATGTGATGGGGGCAGCAGGAGGAAAACAGCTCCAGCTCTGGGGGTTCTGGTGGTCACTGTTGTCCCTGCATCCCCAGCAGTGGGAGTGAGGATGCTGTTTTCATGAAGCACTGGTTTTAAAGATAGGGGAGGGTAGTGGTTGAGCTCTTGCCAAGCTCACTTGAAGCCACAGAGACCCAGTCCTGGGTTTGATACTCAGAACTGCCCCTATATGCACAAAGAACAAGGGAAGAAAAAGGATTTTATGTGCCAGGAGTCAACTTGCACATCTTGGAATTTTTTCTTGGTTCTTCATCTTTTTCTTCCCTAGCAGGAAGCCCATTGCCCAGCCTAGAGAGAGCTGGCTCCCTGCGTCCAGATTGCCCCTGTCCCTGGGTGGAGGGCCTCTAGGCCCTGCAGCTGCCCAGGGCTGTGTCTTGGGTCCTCCTGCTGCAGATGGTGTCCCAGCAGGGAGGACTGGGTGCGGGTTGGGAGAGAGGGACCAGTCTTGATGACTAGACTGGGCCTGGCCCCTGTCTTCACTAGGAGGGTGGGGACCAGGGAGAGGTGGGGACCAGGAAGGGGTAGGTGGCTCGGGAACACCTGACAGAGGCTGAGCCAGACTCTTGCCGCTCCAGCCTCTTTCGCTTCCTCTTGCTTCCTAGCTGGTAGGAAATTCCAGGGCATTGGAAGAAGGGAGGCTGGAGGAGAGCAGGGGAGGAGGGTGGAGGGAGAAGGGAGGGCAAGCAGAGCAGCTGCACCCTCCCTCCCTTCTGGGAGAACCAAGTCTGAGTACCCTCCATGGCGTCTTACCTTACACGAGCACTCTGGGAGGTCTTTATCTGCCCTACGCCCCTTGGCAGCGCTGGGCCCAGGCCTGGAGCAGGGCAGGGGAAGGGACCCCCTTCTCTAGACCATACTAGGAATTCCTTAACCAGTGCCCGCAGATACAATCACACAGGAACGCAGTTCTTTGAAATTAAGAAGAGCAGACCTCTGACAGGGTAAGTAGGAGGGGCACAGACATGACATGTATGAGGTGATGGGGACAGCGGGACGGAAGTGGCTCCAGGTGCTTCTCCCCAGGCTCATGTGCCCCTAGCTGAGTTGGATCCTCTGAAGATCCCAGTGGTTTGTCTTCAAGTGGAAGCTTAGGGACAGGCGGGGACTGCCTGAGGAAAGCCAGCCAAGGGGGACAACACCTTGAGGCCCTGAGGAGGTTTATTTACTTACCCCCTCTCAAAGCCATGGGTGGAATCCAGCCTCCCTAAGGCCCAAGCTGTGCTCCTGTGGTGCAGGTTGTAAAGTGTGCTGGGGGCACACCCCAGCCCCTGTGGGGTGGAAAAGTCCACTTGCCCTCCTGGGCAAGGCCAGGCCTGGGCAGTATTTGGTAAGTAAGGAAGAGCCCAACCTGAATGAATTCTAAGTTCAAGAGTAGGCAGGGAGGGTCTGGGGAGTTGGCTCAGTAGAATAAGCACTTGCCTGGCAAGCGCAGGGGCCTGAGTTCAGTCCCTGGTTCTGCAAAAAAAGTAGGCAGGAAGGTACATATGGTGGCTCAAGCCTGTCAGCCCAGCACTCAGGAGGCTGAGGCAGGATTCCTGGGAGTTCAAGGCCAGTTGGACTACATAGTGAAACCCTGTTTCAAAAAGACAAAAACAAAAAAAAGAGCAGGCAGGGGAGGCTTGAGGCCTCTGCCTGAGGTCCTGTATTTATTCAGTCTTCCAGGAAACAGCTGCAGTCAATAGCAGGGTCTTGGGAAGAGCAATAGTTGGGTCAGGAGTGTCCACTGTGCTCCCAAGGGAAGAGATCAATGCTAGGGTCCCACCACCTCCCCACTGCCCCTGGAGAAGGTCCCAGCACAGCAGCCCTTCTGTTCTTGTGCATGCTCCCCTCCCCTAGAAGTCTTTGGCCCAGGTCGGAGCCACTCATGGGAGGAAATGAAAGAAGGGACAAGGGAGAGGGGGGGTATCAACAGTGACTGCCTCTCCCACTCCCTTTGGCTCCAGATTGGGCAGCTTGGTGTGGGATTCTGTCCTCCCAGCATGTCTCCACCCTGCCCCCTCCTGACATCCCCTCACAGGAAGGGGTTGGAGTCACTGTCCTCACAGCCCTAACTTTCCCACAGGCTGATGGACCTGGCCAAGGAAATGACCAAAGAGGCCCTGCCAATCAAATGCCTGGAAGCCGTGATCCTGGGAATGTATCCTTTCTCCCAGGGAGGGAGCCTGGCAGCTCAGGCTCTCCAGGCTTTGACTTCCTGCTCTGGAAGGACTGGGCAGGATCTGGGACCCTCCGGCTAGCAGTCTGGGGATTCCTCAGTTCTGCCTTCCCAGGCTCACTCTTTCTGGAATCCCATGGACACAGGGACCTTGTTGTCAGAATCCTCAGTCTGGGCACAACATGAGCTCTTGTGCCATTTTCAAGAACCTGACGGAGAAGTAGGCAGGAGGCCCAGTGTTGGGGTGTGCAAGTCATGTGACTTGTGGAGATGATGCCTAGGGTCCTCCAAGCAGAGCTGAGGGCTGTTCTGCCCCTGAGGGGCAGAGGTGCTGCCACAGCTGGGTCAGCAGAGTCGCTGGAGGGACAGACAAGCACCCCTGAGGTCTGTAGTCAGAACAGGGATAGCACCTCAGCCTCAGTCCTAATTTTTTTCTTTAGTTGTTTTATCATAATTGTTGGTTTGTTTGGTGCTGGAGATGGAAGTCAGGGCTTTGTGCATGCAAGGCCCAGGCTCTACCCCTAAGCCCCAGCCCTAGCCCCTGTCATAAAATATATAAACAGTGCTAAAAGGAGAGTATGGTAAGGCCCTGTGTACCTGTTATTTAGCTTCACCAGCTGAAAGCCAATTGCATTTCATCTCTCCCAGCTTAGATTCCCCTTCAGCTTTTTTTTGTTTGTTTTGGTTTCTGGTTTTTGGTTTTTTTGGTGGAAGCGGGGATTGAACTCAGGTCCTTGAGCTTGCCAGGGAAGCGCTTATTCCACTAAGCCATCTCCCCAGCCCCTTTTTTTGTTTGTTTGTTTTTTGGGTTTTTTTCCCCCTTCAGCTTTTAAACTTGGGGCAGGCAGCCCACCTGGCCCAGAGCTCAAAGGAGCAGGCAGGAGTACAGGAGTACAGGGAAGGGCATCTCATGGAACAAGGAGTCTTCCCCAGGGCAGGTCCCAGGAGGAGGAGGTGAAGGTTGAAGGTGAGTACATACCTTCAGGGGGCCGTGATCCCCTAGCCTGTCTCCCACAGACACAACTGCCTTAAACTAGCACAGTCTGTATATGGTGCTCTTTGTCCCCTTCGGCCCCCAGCACTACCTCTGCGATGGCCATCACTTGCAACAGGGCAGGCCCATTCCCTGGAGATTGGCTTATAGGGCCCTTTGCTAGTTTAGGCATGGGACCCCCTGAGGACCTTCGGCCACTGCCATCTCCCCACTGCACCTATGTGAGGCTCCCAGCCTCAGACCAGATAGGCACAGCTCCAGGCAGGAGCCTTGCAGCCCCCTGGCATTGTGGGGTTGCCTGGTGGCTCACAAGAGGAAGAAAACGAGTGGCCTCATCTGGGCAAGAGGTCCTTCCCAGTGTCTCCACAGCTCCCTCGATCGCTGCACGTGAGCGGGCACTGTACTGTGTGTGGCCCGTCTTCTTCCCACTGCGCTCTGAACCTGTGCATTTCTTATATAGTGGATCCCTGGTCACTGGCAAGGAGTCAGGCTTAGTAAGCTCTGTAGAGTGAGTTTAGTACCAGAGGGAACATGATAAAATCTCTGAAGGCACAAATGGAACAGACCATCCGGGCCTGGAAGCCAGGCTCTGTGGCTTGCTGTGGATTCACCAAGCAAGTGCTCAGCCTCGGGTCCTCCTCTGCCCACGTGGGTAATGGCAGCACCTGTCACAGAGCCAGTAGGACAGTTGAGTGAGGTATGCGTGGCAGGTACCCAGCACAGTCTGTCCTGGCATCTGCTGCATGCTTTATCCGTTTATCTCCTACCTCTGTATTCAGGAATTCTCACTGCCTAATTGCTATGTGCCTGTGTCTCAGTTACTCTACTTTCATTGCTGGGACAAATACCCAACACCCAAAATGAAGGGAGGAAAGGTTTATTTAGCTCACAGTTACTGGAGGTTTCAGTCCACACTCAGCTGGCTCCAAGGCAGAGCAGTACACAGCAGAGGGCAACCTTTCACGGCAGCGGCAAAGAGCAAGAGCACAAGGGAGTAGCAGCAGCTCAAGCAGCTAGCTTCTCTTCCCACCTTACACCGTGATGCAGATTGCCTGCCCCAGGACAGTTGCAGCACCCACACCCACAGTGATCAATCACAAACTCCAGAAGCTGCCCCAAGACTGCAGGAGGCTTTGGGGGGACAACTAGACACAAACCATAACAGCCTGGCTCTGTGCTGGGCCCTCAAAAAACATCAAAGAACATGAGAGCCAAGGTCTAGGCTTACATTCTGGAGAGAAGGAGAAGGTAAGCAGGTAAACAACACAGTAAAGGGCAGATGGAGTGCTGTGGAGGAGCTAGAGGAGCAGGCTTTCTTTAGAAAAGGATCAGCAAGCCTGGCACAGTGGCTAACTGCTCTAATCCCACTGCTAAGGAGCCTGAAGCAGAGGGACTGACTTCAAGGCCAGCCTGGACCACACAGTCAGACCCTGCCTCAAAAACAGCAAAAAGATTTAAAAGAGCAAAGTCCATGCAGCAGCCATGGTTCGATCCCTGGTGTGCCGTGCCCGCCCTGCCCGTGGGGCGTACTGAGATGACTATTGAGATTGGGCATGGTGGCATGCGTCTGTAATCCCAGCTGTTGGGAGGCTGAACATAGGGGGATCACTGTGAGTCCAATCTCCCTAGTGAGACCCTGTAGACCCTGTACTAAATTTAAAAAAAAAAAAAAAAGGCTAAGTCAACTAAGCATGAGGCCTGAGGAGGAGCCAGCAGGGAGGAGCACAATGTTCCGAGGCAGGAGCTGGTACCGAGGGGCTCCAAGGGGAGGCCAGGTGGCTGGATGGTGTGAGCAGGCTGGGCAAGGCATCAGGCAGGCGGGCAGGGACATGGGGACTGGCAGCGCTCATCTCTGGCCATGGCTGTGAGCTTGGTTCTGTTTGAGGGGCTGGGAGCGGACAGTATGGCAGAGAAGGGGGCGGTGGTGAGAGGCGAGACGGAACAGAATTGTCTGCTTCTGTGAGGACATTGACGTGTGAAGGGAAAATGTGAGACTATGTCTGCAGAGACGTGTGGGTGAGAAGTGCGTGTGAGTGACAGAAGGGATGGTGACAGATGAACGGGAGGGCTGGTGGAAGCCCTCAACCTCCAGCTCTGACAGCCCTGCAGTCAAGGGACCTTATTAGTCGCTATTCGGAGATCCTTGCTTGACATCACCACAGCAGCCACTAAGCAGGGAGCCCTTCCCTAGAAGGCCACTGTAGGCCTGCTGCTAGAGGACAGGGAGGTGACTGGGCTGTGGGGTCCACACTCGGGAGCTGCGGTCTAGGGTCTCGTTGGGCGCTGGTGCTGTTTCACTCCTGGTGCCCTGTGCTGCCCAGTGCTTATCCTGGCCCTTTCCTTAGCTCAGGTTGACCACCAGTTACCTCACCAACAGCATGCCCACCCTGGAGCGCTTCCCCATCAGCTTCAAGACCTACTTCTCAGGGAACTACTTCCACCACATTGTGCTGGGGGTGAACTTTGGGGGCCGCTACGGCGCCCTGGGCATGAGCCGGCGCGAGGACCTGATGTACAAGCCGCCGGCCTTCCGCACACTCAGCGAGCTCGTGCTGGACTATGAGGCCGCCTATGGTCGCTGCTGGCATGTGCTGAAGAAGGTGAAGCTGGGCCAGTGCGTGTCCCATGACCCACACAGTGTGGAGCAGATCGAGTGGAAGCACTCGGTGCTGGATGTGGAGCGGCTGGGCCGAGAGGACTTCCGCAAGGAACTGGAGCGCCATGCCCGTGACATGCGCCTCAAGGTCAGGCTTGGCCAACAAGGTGAAGGGGACTGTCCCTTCCCCTAGGGGGTCCTACCTTTCTGACCTGACCCTGTTCCAGCCAGGTGTGAGGACAGAAAGCAAGGACTTTCAGGGTTTCCCTCAGCAGTCATTGATTGAGGTCACCCCTCAGGTGGCCTGGGGGAGCTTCAGAAAGAGGACATGGGTTACTGGGGTCGCATGGTGGTGGGTCTCGGACAGTGGAGAGGGCTGGCTTATGGTGCTGCAAATCAGGGCACCTGGTGTGAAGATCAGCTCGTGGGAAATCCTGGCCCATTTGGCAGAAAGGTAGGATAGGGTGGTGAGGAGCCTCCACCCCAACCCCTGGCTTGCAGTGAAGGAGGACCAGGCAGAGGTCAGATGAAGAGGAAAGTTAGACAGTGGGGGTGGCTGCTTTTTCCTTCCAGCCCCACAGATGAACAGATGTCTGAGGATTTGGAGATTCTGTTGGGCTTGAGTTGGCCTGTAGAGCCTTGGAGCAGACAGAATTTGGGCTTCCTTGGGTCCCTCTGGCCAACAGGTGCCTTCCCTTGCTCAGGTCTGCTACACTTGGCCTTGCCCCTCAAGACAACTGCAGCACATTCCTGCCCCATTTCTCCCAATAGCCTCTAGAGGCCCACAGGCAGGCGGCTGGTGGTGAGTCTACTTCCAGGGTAGGAAACCAGAGACTCACTCACAGAGAGCTAGAGGCAGATGGGACAGAGCTCATCTCCTGAGGCTTGTCCCAAGGGCCTATTTTGCTCCCAGGGGGTGGGGAGGGGCAGGGGTAAGAGCTAGGGCTCCCTGATCCCTACCAGCCCCCTAAGCCAAACCTTCTGGCTAACACTGGCTGCCCCAGGATGCAGCAAAGCTGCATTAGCAAAGTTAGCCCTGCGCATCAGTATCCTGCGGCACCCGATACCCTGGCTCTTGCTGCCTGCAGCAGCGTTGTATCTCTGAAGTCGCAGGTTGGGTCTAGAATTGGAACCAATGCTTACTTTGTCTTTAGCAGTGCAATTCCCAACCTGTTCAGCACTAAGGACTCCCCAGGTTGTGCAGCCCCCTCCAGTTCCCCTTCTGTGTCTGAGAAACTCAAGCCATGCCCATCATGCTGCCAAAAGGATGACTCATTGTTTTTCTCAGCGAGATCATTCAATCAGTCCAACTTCCAATTGGCTCAAGATAAGCAGCGCACTCTTGGGGCTGGTTGGATCTCAAAGCTCAGACATCAGCCAGTTACCCACTTCGTACATGTACCCATTTATGCGTGGGTAAACGAATCATTTCTCAGGCCCAGTGATTGTGAGGAGCTGCTGTCCTGCAGCTTTAGTGCCTGGGAAAGACTGGGAGAAGGCGAGCGCTGCCTAGGGCTTCCTGGCCTGTCCAGGGCAGCCTCTAGGGACTGGCAGCTTTCAGCAGGGCAGGTTTAGCTCTGGGCAGCCCAGAAGTATGCTTTCATCCCTTGCACCCCACCTAGATTGGCAAGGGGACCGGCCCTCCCTCTCCCACCAAGGACCGGAAGAAGGATGTTTCCTCCCCACAGCGGGCACAGTCCAGCCCTCACCGCAGGAACAGTCGCAGTGAAAGACGGTGAGAAATTATTGCACCTGGGGTGCAGGGCAAAGAAAGGATTTCACCTTTTCTCTGTTCTGGCTGCTTCTCTTCACGCTTCTCTCCCATCCTTCTGTTTTTCTCCCCACCAAGGGAAGTGACTTGGGATGGTGGGTGAGGATGTTATATGTTGACGCTGCCCATAGCGATGCAGTACCATTCCCCCAAAGCAGACACCTCTTAGCTGGTCCTGGCTACCCTGTACTGGACCAGCAGGGCCCAGAAGAAAGTCAGAGGCAGGCAGAAGAATGAGCTATGTGAGAACAGGGCTGGGAGTTCTCCAGCAGTTTCCTGGGAAGGGTTTGCACATGACCTGAGGATCTCCGTAGCTAGGGGCAGTGGCTCTGAACAGCATTTGTCCCCATGGGTCTGTGGGTTATGTCTATGTGGATGGCAAAACTTGCCATTTAAATGTGGGGCCTCCTGCTCTGATTTTGGCTTTTGCTTTAAATATACCTGTCAACCAGGAGCCACCTCTAGTGTGAATTCAGGGGCATGGAGCAGATCTCTGGCACCACAGCCTCCATATGGGGAGTTTTTCATCACAGATTCCCTGAGTAGATTTAGACTTTAAGCTGTTATCTACCACCTGCACCACAGAACAAGTGCCTTATGAGAGAGCAGGAACCACAGCTGGGAGCACACGGTGGCTGGTTTCCTGAAACAGACCTCACACGTCCTCAGCAGGCACTTAGAGAAGTGTGCTGGGAGCTGCTGGGCAGCTGAACTGCTCCCACCTGCTCTATCTCCCTAACCACCACCCTTTTCTCCTGTTTCCTCTGCTCTTCCTGCAGCCCCTCGGGTGAAAAGAAGCCTTCAGAGCCCAAAGCCATGCCGGACCTCAATGGGTACCAGATCCGAGTGTGAGGGTGCAGGCTGGCACCCCCGGCCTCCTGCTTCTAGAGACCAGGACCCACCTGCTGACACTAGCTGCACTCGCACTCCCAGGCAGGGCGAGAAGGAGCACAGGAAGGGTGTGTGGCAGCTCAGCCTCGTGCTACTCCCCTTCCACTGAGCCAAGGAGTTCGTTTGGGGGGTTTGCACTGAAGTTTAAAGATGTTTGGGAAAAAAAGACACATGGATGTGCTGGTGGCCGGAAAGGCACTGTTTAGAGCCCTGAGAGCCTTCAGGCTGAGGGAGGACAGCTTGGCACTCCTGCCTTGGTGCCTCTCTGGGATCTGAGTGTGTCCCATGTGGGCTACTTCTGGGCCCCACCAGCCTGTGGGAGGGTCTGGGGTGGGGAGTAGAAGTATCTTTCCAGTTGGGCAGATGGCTTGGCAGAATTTTGACCCAGGGAAAGGGAAGCAGGGTAGGAGTCGTTCTGGAGCTTGGTGCAAGCCTCATCTGCTCAAGAGTAGGGAGACAGCCCAGGTCATGGTGGCCCCAGAAGCAGTACTGGGTGAGCCTGTGCTACACCCAGCAGAGGGCTGGGCTGTAGAAGAGTTGGGAGAAGACCCTGGGGGAGGGGTCCCAGACTCCTAACAAGGCCTGCTGGATGATCCCACTCTTGTCTGTTATAGCAGCCCAGGGGGCTCCCTGCAGAGGGTTTGGGCTTTGAAGACAACTGGGCAATGGGGTCAGAGTGACTGGGGATTGAGCAGACAGAGCAGTCTGGGAGCTATGGTGGGCACAGGAGGATGGAGTGGAGCCCTCAGGCCGGGACCTCTCTCCAGGCAGTGCCAGGAGTGGCCTTTGCTGCTTCCCCTCCCAGATAGCCTCTGCCCCAGGCCAGTGCCCTGCGTTAGCAGCCCATGTAGGATGGGGTTACAGTGATGGTTGAGCCTGCCATGTTTGGCACTTCAGGGTACTGTCAGGGAAGAGACTGAACAGATGGAGTCATTGACTTCAGGAGATCCCTGGTGGGGGCAGTAAAAGGATGTAGACGGAGGTTGGCAGATTTGAGGAGAGCTTCTGGGGGCTCAGCAGGGAGGTATATGGCCACCAAAGAGGGACAGAGCCTGAGAATGGGATGGAAGTGAGAAAGCGATGTGGAGGGGCTAGGATCAGGATGCCTTGGGAGGAGTGAGTTGACAACAGCATAGAAGGCATAGGAAGGGGGAAGATCCAAGTGGGAGAAGGGCAGCTGAATGCGGTGGCCATGAAGGGTTTTACTTCAGGAGGAATTCAGGGCGACTATCAATAAGACTGCAGATGGACCACAGAGATAGCTCAACGGTCTAAAGCTCCTGCTTAGGCAGGTGCGGAGGGACCGCAGTTCAATCCCGGCACCACATGCCACGCCAACCTCACTCCCAGGGTGGGCTGAGCCAGCCATACACACACAAAAAAGTCTTCAGATGGCTTGGGGACTGGATAAGGGACTAGAGCTAAGATTGTAAACTCAAATGTTCACAAAGCCAGCAGGCAACTGAGAAGTGAGTGGCAAGGCTGGGTGGGGTCTGTGGCACACCCAAGGAGGCATACCCTACTAAAGGGGCTGCCGTCTGTTCCAGGCCCTGTGCAGTCAAATTGTCTGGTTTTTCAAAAGCCAAAACTCCACATTTGTATGTGAAATCTGACTTTAAAGGGTTGATGATTTGTTTTTTAAAATGTAAAAACCCAGTGTAGGTAAAAGAATGCCAGTTTGGGGTCTCTGATGGAGAATGAGCCAGTGCAGGGCGGAGTCCACTACGATGCTGTGTGGTGGGAAGTGACAGTTTTGAGCTCCACAGAGCTGGGCTGGGCAGTCAGGGGGAGGCCCTGACAGCTGAGACTCCCCAGGGTGACACAGAAATAATCCAGCTCAGTATCCCAGCAGATGGGTGGGCTGGGAGCAGAGGAAGGAGCAGCAAAGGATGCTTTTGCTGATGACAGTGCTCACAGGGAAGGCACCGGAGGCTGGTGGCTCTTCAAACTGGCAGTGCTTGGCCCAGAGCCAGGCCCAGCAGGGCCAGCCAGAGCCACCTGGGAGGCCTGCTGCGCAGTTCCTTGTCTTAGCAGCTTCAAGGAGTCAGTGGGCCTGGGAAGGGACCTAACCTGCCCTGAGGCTACACCCGGGCTGGAAGTGAGGGACTTAGTGACCCCTGATGCACTATTCCAGCTCAGCTTACAGAGAGGGGATGACAGTCCCTTTTCCTACATTAACACAGGACAGATGGCCACTCTCAGAGTGCTTTTCTGGTTCTGGTTCTGGTTGCAGCTGCTCATCCACAGGCAGGCAGCCCCAGATGCCTCTGGGAACTTCCAGGAAACAACAGGATATGGGGGAAGTGAGGAGGAGCCAGCCAGGAGCTGCAGTCAGGGGACATGCAGGCAGTTGCTCCTGGTTCCAGAGCCCTAGGGGCTGCCCAAGGCTCTGGAGCCCACCGGGGACAGGTGGAAGAAGCACAGTAGAGCCCTACCCCTGCTTGCTGTCTGGGAGGAAGCCGACCCTCCCTGTAACCCCCAGCACTCACCCTTCCCGAGCTGGAACCTCAGGCCTGTGGAGATCACCACAGGACACAGTGGTGCTTTTTAATTTATTTTTAACTGTTTCTCATATGTAGCAACCCTCCTCCCCTCCTGGGCTGTTTACACGGGCTCTGCTCTCCGGGGCTGGCCTGGCTGCGAGGTTTTTGGGGAGGCAGAGAGGCAGGGACTTCGGGGCCTTAGTCACCATCCATGGCATCACCTCATCTCACTTCTGTGAGGAACAAAGGCCTGGCAGGTGGGAGCCAGCTCCCCTGTACTCAGGTCTGCCTCTGAGTTCCCCCTTCTCAAGTGGGGGCTGCTGGCTGAGGAGTCGAGGGGTGGTCAGAGCAAGCTGCTGCATAGAGGCGGCCAGGCAGTGGGTACTGCAGGGTCTTGCCAAAGCCTGGCTGGCTCCTTGGGCTGGGTGCCAGGGCAGAACACTGGGAAGCTGGCTGAAGCAAGCCATCCCTCCACCTGCCTGCCAGCCCTCGGCCTCCTCACGCTCATCTGTCACACCAGCCACCCCATCCTTACGCAGGCATGGCCAAGTGTGGAAGGCAAGCAGCAGTGCTCTGGCCCCCATGGACAACAGTACAGCATAGGGCCACAGAACGATGAGCAGAAAGAGCCCAGAAGTTGACTGATTCCTAGCCCTTTCATCATCTCAGCTCTGCTTCTTCCAGCTTGGGCTTGACTGCAGCTCTGACAGTCACTGAAGCTCTCGCTGGTGGAGTGCCCAGAGGCCCATGGGCTTGTGCACCTGTGTTCCTGCCTGGCATGCATGCTGGCTTAGGTGCAGCTGCATCGCTGGCCATGTGTCCCTGGCCTCAGGATGCAGGACGGGCATGCTGCGCCCAGCTGCTGATGTAGAGGCCAGATGGCATGCTCTCCAGGGGTGGGGTCTGCCCCGCCAGGTGCCACAGCTTCCTACCTGCTTCCCCAGGCAGGCAGGACTGCCAGGGTGCTAGCTGCAGGGCCCTTGATGGGACCCTCCTGCTCCATTATGGTGCTCCAGGGTCTCAGGTTGCCTTTTTCAAGTCTGACAGGAGAGCACAGGCCTGTGTGTTCTTGGCCATGGCCTGGTGATGATGGGCCCCGCCCTGCTTTGTGTTTGGCTACTGTGTTGTTCTGGGCATTCTTCCTGTCCTTATATCAGTATTTGCTCCTTCCTTTGACTCTCACATTTGGTTTCATTCCTGTCCTTCCTTTTTCCCTGAAATGAATAAAGTCTCTCCAGCTCCACTCGTGGGGGCTGGACAGAAATCACAACATGAAGCCTGTCTCCTTTCCCTTGGGAACAGGGGCCCGAGCCCACCACACTCCTGCTGGTTTCTCTGCCCACTACAGAAGGAATCTGGACAGAGGTGAGTGCAGCCTGGAACCTGTGGACATCCAGGACAGAACATTCTCAGGCTTCCCAGGCCACTCAAGCCTTACCCTACTCTGGGAGCAGTGCTCTCTCATTGGGCCATGAGGAAGCTCCCTCTACCTCATACAGAGGTTTGGGCCCCATGTCTGCTGCTAGAGATAGATCATATACCCACAGCCCTGTCCTCTCTGCCTAAGCCCACAACAGCCCATCAGGAAGAAAGGAGAATGGGGTGTTCTTCCATAAGATGAGCTTATTTCAGGAAACCATAGCAACAGGGACCCAATGTCTCTTCTCATCAATTCCTAGTCTCTAGCTTTGGAAAACACGACTGCATCCACCCACAACCCCTCTCCACCGTCCCTCTTGCTCTGGACCTGTCCACCTGTTGACAAGCCCAAACAACTCACACAGGAAGTGTCCCGAAAGCCTACAACATTTTTCAGTTCTAACCTTCCCATGTCTTCATTTGCCACTCAGCTTAGGAGCAAAACACAGACCTGTAAGATTTCCTATTTGTTTTTTTCTTTTCTTTTTTTTTTTTTTCCAGAACCGGGGATTGAACTCAGACCCTTGCACTTGCTAGGGAAGCACTGAGTCATCTCCCCAGCCCCTAAGATTTCCTATTTCTTATCCCAGCCCATCTAACCCCCACCACACACACACACACACATACACTTAAAACCCTGGCTAGAAGGACAGTTCAGCACAACTTAAGTTGTGCAAAAGGGAAGACATGCAGTTAGAGGACGGAAAGGCTGTGAGAATCCATGGGCATCTTGGCTGTATGCCATTAAGCAGAGCAGTTCTGTCATAGACGAACTTAAACCCAGCTAAAAACTATATCCCAAGAAGCCTTTCCGGTAACTAGAAGTTGTGAACAGCTTGGGTTATAAAGCCTTCCATAAAGGAAGAACTGTCATTTACACACCTACGCCCAGCTAACAAGCAAGGGAACCAGTGCAAGTTTTGATGAGACAGCAGGGCCTTAGGAGTGCTCATGGGAGGGGGCACCAGGGCCATCCTATGTATCTTGAGCTGAGTAGGTTGACTGTGGACACTGCTGGACCACCTTCCTAGATGCAGAAGTGTCACTGCAGACTCAAAGGAGAATCTGGAGGAGGGTTGTGGTTTTTGGTTGTTTGTTTTTTTTTTAATCCTTGCTGTCCTGGTTCTCAGGCCACAGCAGTGAACAACTGAGTCCAGTGTCCATTTCAGGTGCGTGAACTGGGCATGTAAATTGGGTCAGACCTTCGCATGCAGACAGCACTTCTTCAGTTCCCTGAAGGTGAAGAGATTGCTCTACCACCCCCATCTGGCAGGACCCAGCATTTTAACTGCTACTGGGAAG